AGAATTTGAATGATCAAGTAACCAGTTTTTACTATATCTAAATGATTATGTTAACTACGAGGACAATTCTATCGACTACTGCAACGGTAGAGGACACAAGACAAAAGGCGTGATACTTACCAAAGGCTGGGCTGCATGACATAAGGCAAAAGTTTTAGGTGGTTAATAATGGAAAACAATTTGGCCACTTTTATTTTTTTTTGGGTGAGTCAGTCGGGAGAGCGCTCTTACCTTTGATAGGAATTGAACCTAAGACATAGCGCTCCTACCTTTGATAGGAATTGAATCTAGGACATAGTGTTCCAAATCGTCAAGCACTGACCAATTAAGAAGAAATAAATAAATGGAGGTACCCTCAAGGTCCAAGCTGTTTTCTTCTTTTCGATCAACTGATAGAAGATTGCCTCCTGTAAACCCCATAACGGCTCTAATCAATATAGAACTGCAACTTCATTTAACCCCCTAAGTCTGACAAATGAATTCATAATAGATGACTCTCAAAATACTAACACCATACACCATCTAAATACATTCACCATTATAATAAGATGAAAATTTGATTATCTATTAAATCATAATGCAAACTATACTTACCAAGACTAAAACATACTAACGAGAGCATTGGCCTGTCAAATTTAAAGCAAAAATTGTGTTTGGTTGAATATTAATTGAAGTCATGTTTGACTAGTTTTAAACATTTTTCGATTTTTAACGGTTCGGCAAGCTAAATAAACTAATTTATTTGTAATATATTTCATATTTTTAGATGGTTATTCTTATATTTTATTTAGCTTTTAAAAATCTAATCCAATCAGATCTCTTAACAATTCGATTGGTTTTGACCGGATAAAATGCCTCATCAATTCGATGGTCGGTTTGATTCTCGTAACCTATTAACCATGACACAAACTACATGGCAATATGAGTAGAATTGTCAGCGGGGCCGGGCCTACCTAGCTCGGTCTCAATTGGGCCGGCCCTATCGTGACCTGCCTAGACCAATGTTCTATAAATCAAAATGGCCTTGAAAACCGGTCGGTTCAACCGTTCTAATCGGGCAGGTTCCCGCTGGTGAAAATAGGTTAAAAAATTAAAAAAGAATCTAAAAAATATGAAAACTATATTTAAAGCATGATTACACCAAGCCCATCCAAATGAAATTGAAAATGAGTGAAAATAATGGATTTTAAAAAGGGTGCGGTTTGTATAGAACCGAAGCTCTAAATGATCAAAGTAAAGCGCACCTTCAAATAGAATCGAGAAATGTGGTTTCAATGCTGAAAATCTTTGTGATAACCTTAAAATGTATTTTCATCTTTAGTTACAAAATTTAAAGCTTAAAAAATGGTATAGATCGAGCAGATCTATAAAGACTTGAAAATCTTAAAAATTGACGGTCCAAAAATGCATTACAAGATGCACTAATTTCAAAACTTTAAATCTAATTTTTTTTCTCATGTCCATGCATCTTGATGTCGAGATGATCAATTCGAGAATATTTGGCATCAAAACAACCTCTTCTAGTGAAATTTTTTAGGTGGGTTCTAATTTGATTGTTTAGAGCCTTAGTTGTATATAAACTTTTTCCTTTCAAAAAAAGTCATCGTGCCTAAGGCATTTTTAATTTTTTAAAAAAATATGAAAAAAATGTAAAAATAAGTAGTCTTTCAATCTTTGCCAAAATGATAAAAAACATTAAAAAACGTATTATAAATAAATCTCTTATTTTTTGGGATTTTATATAAATGTTTTTGAATTTTTTAAAAAATACCTAGCCGGTCCACATAAACTAGATCGGTTAGTGTCTAGTCCTGGTTTGACCGGCCGGTTCCAAGTTGAACCGACCGAGTTTGCGAACGCTGGCCCAGGTCTATTAGGCTTAAAGAAAAACTAGAAAGAAAAAAAGAAAAGTATAAAATGAGACCATTTATCTTTGATACAAAATAGTCACCTTAATCTTGACTATTGGATGTGAAATTGGATGAGTGTAATTATTCTATTGACTAAGTCCAAACAAAATTTTTTAAAACTTTATGACATATCCAAGCTATCAAATTTCACATCAAATGATTGTAAAGAATTATGATCACCTTGTATCAAAAGGTAAAAAGCAAATTACCTCATTATATACAAAACACAGGGTGGAGTGCCCTAGTTCTTGATGGTAGGCTGAATCTCTGGGGCCCTCGCAAGCCTTAAATATGAACCAATTGAGAACAAATGACGGACTATCAAAAGTGGATAGTGAGTCATCAACAATAATGATGATAGTACAAAGTTTCTATGCGGCCAGCCCGCAAATGCCCGCATATTGTAGGTTTGTAGGCGTGGCAATAAATATATTTTTTAAATATAATTTGATCCTAATTATTAGCCAATATATAACATTTAATATGGAGATCATGAATATGAAAAGAAAATTGAAAATTAAAAATAATAATTATATTAAAAAAATATTGTTACAATTGTTTTTAGATGGCCGCAAATTGTAGAAATGCGGTCCAGCCCCTCAATATCTTATGTGACACTTTTGTTTTCGTGGGACATCATTTCTTCGGCATATCCTCTTTTATACCCTTTCTATCCACATCCATACACAACATTCATTTTAAGGTGTTGTTGGGATAGAGCCAAGACTCTAATCAAGTAGGGTGTTGTTTGTATAGAGCCGAGGCTCTAAAGGTGTTGTTTGTATAAAGCCGAGGCTCCAAACAATCAAAGTAAAAGCGCACCTTCAAATAATGTCGAGGAATGTGGTTTCAATACTGAAAATCTTTGTGATAGCCTTAAAGTTTATTTTTATTTTTAATTATAAAAATTTAAAGCTTTAAAAATAGGATAATTCGATGAAAACTTAAAAATCTTGAAAATTGACGGTCCAAAAATACGTTACAAGATGCACTATTTCAAAAACTTGAAATCCATTTTTTTTTCATGTCCGTGCATCTTGATACCGAGATGATCAATTTGAGGATATTTGGGCATCAAAACAACCTCTCCTAGTAAAGAAATTTTTGTGGTGGGCTCTAATTTGATTATTTAGAGCCTCAACTCTATGAAAACCTTTATCTTTTTTAATACAGTTATTATTTCTATTTTTCATTTTTTTTTTCATATTCATTATCTCCATGCTAACGATTATATATTCTGTAAAAATTAGGATCAAAATATATTAAAAATATATTTATTGCAAGCCCTCGTGTCAGTGCATCTTGATACCGAGATGATCGATTTGAAGATATTTGGGCATCAAAACAACCTCTCCTAGTGAAGAAATTTTTGTGGTGGGCTCTAATTTAATTATTTAGAGCCTCAACTCTATGAAAGCCTTTTTCTTTTTTAATACAATTATTATTTCTATTTTTCATTTTTTTTTTTTCATATTCATTATCTCCATGCTAAAGATTATATATTCTCTAAAAATTAGGATCAAATTATATTAAAAATATATTTATTGCAAGCTCGCATTTCTACAATAAGCGGGCTAGCCGCATGCTAACCGCGTTCTTCAGTTCCTCAAATGATATAGGTGGACAAAAATTATGTCACTGAAATCCATCATGGGCAAAGGGTGATTATCATGGATGAAGGGATTCCTTTCAATATCATGTTTACAGAGATGCAAATGAGTTGGTCTATGGGTCAGCTAGAAAGGGTGTAGCTTACTGGAGTTCGAAATTTCTCATATCCAAAAAGAAAAAAAAAAACATCATGAGCAAGTTTATCCCAAGAGTACACTATCAGAAACGGATGATAAACACATCACTCACATGGCGTCCTATAATATACTCAATAAAGTTTTTATACAGCTTAGTCAACATGTAAATGGAACACATCGAAGAGAAACAAGAAAATCACAGACGGATTGACCAAAATAGGTAGGAGCTCACAAGCTGAGCCCCATTGGCTATTTTTTGGTGAGAACCACGAAACACAAGCATAAAACCTTCAAATTACTAACCTCAACACTACAGCACTGGTCATTTATAGAACAACCCTACTTTCAAACTCTAAATAAGAACTAAATACAGAGAATAAATAACAAAAAAGAAAGTCGTCGATGCCAAAAAAAAAAACATCATACTCGCAATTTGAGCTCCTGACACCATTTTCCGGCATTTGTACACATCTTCTATAACACAGAATCGGTTGCCAAAATTGACACAGAAAGTATGGACATCGTATAGTTTTAGAAAATCTTACCAACGAGTACCTATACAAAAAACTAGCACCGTGCTCAACAAATTAAGAATCATCAATATAAAAATAAATAATTTAACTTTATAGTTATGGGAGTTGGGTCCGGTGGGTGTGCCACACCACGCCGCAAATGAATGACAGTGCAGGCGTAATGGCCACCATTGGATAGGTAAAGCAGAGAAATCTTCAAGGTCCTAAGGCCAAGCAGGCCAAAATTTTTCTCAGTACTCTTTAACAAACCATGTTCCATGCGAATGCCCCACTAACAAACGATATTCCATGTGAATGCCCCACCAAAAAACCATTTATGTCAATGCCCCAAAAAACTTGTTAATCAGGAACCGACTGGCCACCATATTAGTGAGAGGTTTGCTCCTATCAAAACCGGTCTAATCACTGGTCAAATCAATTAGACCTGATTTTTAAAATATAAACAAAATTGCCAAACTTCATCTAGATAGTCAAGTTAATTAAAACTAGTCGGGTTCAACCGGCCAAAATCAGTCAAAACTTGGTTCTAATCAATTTTCAACCAAACCTAGTTTTTACTACTGGCCAAAGCACCGGTTGGTAATTTGGTTAGATGGATCACCAATTCAGCCTAGTCTTGATAACAATCATCAACTCAAATTGGGGATTAAAATTGAGATATTTTGCTGATTGTTTTTATGTTTATGTTATTTGTTTTAGAGAAATTTATCAAAATACTGCGATGAAATATTACCTATTTGCAACTATCCCAATTCACGATCACGTGTCTTTTGATAGGTATTTTGAAATTAAATAAGAAGATATGAGTAGAATGTTAAAGTAGTTAATCTATAATGAGTATTTGGATAAGTTTCGTGTTGTTTTCTCCATAATCATGTTTTCTCAGAGTCCTAGTAGTTCCTCTGTATATGACCCATCTCCATATAAAGGAGTATTTTGTATACATGAACACCACACTACTAGACAATAGGAATGGACTTCAACAATAATCTGGAGTTCACACTCAAATTGCAGACTTTGAGACATAAAAATCTGTCTCAGAAGCCCATAGAGACTTCTTTCTCAGTTCCTCCAGGAAAAAATATGCGACTAACTTACCTCTCGCAAATAGGTAAAAACAAAATGTGGTCGATAAGAGTTAACCAATCAAACTCTTAAGGTCTTGACCACAGTAGCTCGAGCAAGAGTTCACCTGAAAGGGGCACTTGCTTTTGCTGACAAAATGATGGTGAGGATGAAGACCCTCAAATACCAGAAAGGTTCAAGGCACCAGTCATTTTAGTTTTCTCCAGGTCCATCTGGTTGATTCACATGCGCAAAATCACTAGGCACATCTACACCAGGAGGTTTCTTTCCTGGAAAATCATCAGTTGAAATATTGCTGCCAATCATTCTGCACAACAAAAGTCACAATAGAAAACTTTGTAAAAGAAAAATCATTAGTTGAAATATTGCTGCCAACTATTCTGTACAAAAGTTGAAAACTTTGTAACAGAGAGAGAGAGAGAGAGAGAGAGAGAGAGAGAGAGAGAGATAGGGTTAATCATAAGAGCTCACCCTTTGTCTACGATAACCATTGATCGAAGCTCGCAATTTGCAAACCTGAAATCAGCAAGGAAAATCAAACATGTCCAATAAGTAACGATGGAAGAATCTGACAGAGTCAAGGCGAAACAGAATGTGAATGCTGCTCAAGCATTCCCATGCATTAGGTTCATGAAAAATGGGGTTCAACTTCATAAAATTAATTGGTTCAGGATAGAAATGAAGGCAAAACAGAGATTAGAGAGTTAAAGAGTACATAAAATATTCCGGCATCAACATGAGTTGGCCCATGTATTAGTGGTTCTTTTTTATTTTTGGAAATTCATATACAATCCCCAACGATTGTCCAACCATACAAAAACCTCGGAACCCTTTTAGCGTAAACAACAGAAACCCAACTTTTTACTTCTTCTCAACTAGCCCCCAGATAGCTTTTCAAGCTATCCTCGGACCGAAATATCCTTTTAGGAAGAGTGGCCAAATCAGAAAATCGCAAAAATGAACAAGAAAAAAGCTCTGAAATATTTTGGGCTTTTCCTGTACTATTTACTGAAACTGAAAATGAAATAAAATAAATCTCTAAAACAAACAAGAAAAATGCTCAAGTTCCATTTTCTCCAGCTCTTTCAGGCAATTCACAGGCAGATGCCTAAACAATCCTTCAATGCACTCCTCTGTAAATATATGCAGTTGATTTGGCCAGATCCTGGCGAGTTTCAAGCTCCTCTGAGTTTCCAGTGAACCCAACTTCTGGAACTAACAGCTTCAATTTTCAGGGAATCTGGCTGGAATCCGGTGAGTTTCAACAACAGAGGATATAAAGGGGGAAAATGAGCATAGTGGAACATCAGAAAGGGCGATTCTACAGAGACAAATGCCAAAAAGGGCAATTCTAGAGAGAGAATACAAGAAATGGGCAATTCTAGAGAGAAGAAGGGACAATCCAGCTGAGAAACACAAAGGAGAAGAGGGCGATGAGAGAAATGACCTACTAAAACATGGGGCACCTAAGAGAGGGCTATTCGAGAGAGAAACACAACAAAGAGGCAGTCCAAAAGAGAGGAACATTGACAAAAAAAGTAGCACAAAATAAATGAGCAAGAAATGCAAAAAGTGCCCACCCCTGTTACTGCTAGGTAGGGGGCACCTCAGAGAGGGATATACAACAGGAAGAAACACAACAAAGAGGCAGTCCAAAAGAGAGGAACACCGGCAAAAAAAAGTAGCACAAAATAAATGAGCAAGAAATGCAAAAAGTGCCCAACCCCTGTTACTGCTACTTTGTGGGTTGCTGCAATTGTTCTCATTGTTGAGAAACTCATCACCTTGGCTTTAAGAACTGTTGGCCATTGAAAAAGATAATTGACTTTATCAATTGAATCGTTTCAAATGTCCTCAACTTCAGACGTTTTCTCAGAGGATCTCCTTTGCTCAAAAGATGCCAGCTTTGTGGGCATTTGTGACTGGAATTTCAGGCCAGAAATTGATTTTCCAGCTGATTCAGTTATCAGATTCTTGAAGACAAGACTGACTTCTTTTCCCTAATTGATTGGTCAAACATATTCTGGGATATGACTAATCAAACTAACATATTCTGGGATATGAATATTGACCTCTCTGCTCACAAATACACCATAGCCTGGATTCTCAAGGTATTTCTGAACACTATTTCAGAGCTTTCCCAGCTAAATCGCCTGAAAGAAGTAGCGCTGGAAATTCTATTTCAGAGATTCTATTGCTGTAAGAGTATCATTGAAAGTAGAGATCTCCTTAGCTGGTTATAAGGTGGGTTCTGCAGGAACTTAGCAATATCTGCTGAAACTCCGGGCTATGGATATGGTGAGTTCACTTATTATCCAAGACTGAGAGCCTCACCGTTAATTTTTTTTTTTTAAAATTACATATATAAGGAGAATTTTAGTCCGAAACTAACTTAAGAATGCACGTGGGGAGTATGTTGAGAAGAAAGTAAAATTTGGGTTTTTGATGTTCACCAAAAGACAAGGTATTTTTTCTAGGGTTCGATATCAGTTGGGGGTGGATGTGAGTTTTCCCTTTTTTTCATGATTCTGTTAAGTATGAACGTTTCACGTAAGAAAGTGTGAATAAACTGGTATAAGAACTTCAGGTGTCACAAATCATTAGAAGAGACCAATGAACCAGAGAAAGAATCCTCATCAAGCATTCACATCTTAAGCATTCCTTGAATCTATGACAATACCAACCAAAATATTTCCCCTTTCCTACTCTTATGAAATTTGAGGGTTTGCAGTGATACTACTAGAGATATTGATTTAAGAAAATATGCAACACTTTGATGTTAACCCAAGGAAGGACAATACAAACCTACATGCACCACAAGAATGAAGGCATGCGTTACTGCAACAGAACCTTTAGCAAATGACGATACATAGCTTCCATTCAAAACATATAATGCAAAACTTTCATATACCAAAGCTAAGCCCAAACAGGCGGCCCAAAAACCAAAAATATAAAGTTTTCTACAGAAAGGAGAGAACAAGTTCCTTTAAATTGAATGATATATAAATTGCAACCACTGTGAGGGAAGAGAACTTCAGAGAGAATAATAGAAAGGCACAATTTATAATTGAGTTTTCAATGGACAAAGATGGAAGATGAAAATAATTTGAAATTAAGACCAAGTAAAATAAAGATAAGAATGCATTTATGAAACATATGAAGTGAACCCAATGATCCATAAAGTAAAAATTTCCACTATCCAAACGTGAAATAAAAATTTCCACTATCCAAACGTGAAATTCATAGCTTCCTACAATAAAGAGTGTCATGTAATAAACCTCGGAAAGATATTCCATGTGTTCTAGGATCTGATACGTGAAGTCAAGAGTAAGGCCAGATATAGATTAAGCTTCAAGTTTTCTTCAAAAAAAAAAAAACAAAACTTAAGAAATTGTCCTCAGAAACAATCATTCAGTACTCACGGTTTGGTAATTTCTTCTTTGATAGATGGATGACAGTCGTTCCCAAACAAATCCAGTGTATGCACCAAATACCCACTATGTGTAACAACAGCAATCTCCTTCTCTGGACGAGTCCACAACCTGTTATATAACAAGCTTTATTATAATGTCACAGTATCTCAGTCCTATCCTTTTCTTCTCAAAATAAAACAATTTTCCTGTCGCCTTTAGTGTGAATGTATAAGGTGAAAATGATGTTAAGCAAAGTTTATGCAGCCTTATTAATCGAATGTAAAGGAGGCGGGTCCAAATGTTAACCTAAGAAATAAGAAAGGCTTCTTGCTAAATATCCTGGCATAAAAGCAAGCTTTCACATTATAGCTTTTCCTATTTCACCAAAAATATCTGGACAAAGCAACAATTCATAGGAACACTTTTGAAGTGAGTATGGCGAAGGACCCATTTACACCTAAATAATATTAATTTACAAAGATGTAGTATAAAGCATGATCACCAATATGGGAAATTAAAGAAGGAAGTATAGCTCAGAGATGACATGATATCAAAAAAGGAAAATGATTGAGAATGTTGAGGAAAATGAAGGGAATTGGTAGTGAATGGCTTAATCTTAAGAAACACAAATAGATATTTCCATAATAAGAAAATGGCTTTGTTTCTTTACATTAGAATTATCTCTATATTCATATAATAGCCGCTTAGTGAAATATACAAAGCATGTGTGCAAACATAAATATGCATAGAGATGCACACTAGTAATACATTATGGGAGATGTTTAGTTAAAACTACCCATTGTGTTATTATGTACAAAAAGGTCTACACACCTCTTAAATCCCTATCCAAAAAATTTGAGATACTGATAGTACACTGGAATCTCAAAGTTCAATAGCATACAACTGTTGCGGACCATTCTTACACTGAATCAGAAGGCCAATTTCTTGCTCAATCATTTCCTTTTTTATTTGTTTTTGAAAAATTCTCAAATCATTCCCATGCATTATATATATGAGATTGTTATCTACACCCATGTTATGGGTGGTGGGAATCACAAAATCATCGCCCCCCCCCGCCCCCCCCTCTTTTGTCTCTCTGTCGACACACACACAAGGTCACCTAAACAATGTAATATGGTTATATAATATGATCTAATTATTTACTGGACGCTATTAGAATCTTATTGTTGTATTATATTTTATTAAAATTAATCATTCCTGGACACAAATAAATACATATCCTTGTGTCTTGCACATTACCAATCTAAGAACTTCTTCCCTCTTGTAGCAACTTCTTTAATCTCTTCTCTAGTGTCAGCCTTCCAAAGTGTGTCATCATTAGTTTCTATCTGCACCAAAACAAGCAGAATGAGATGTCATCACTTTACTAAGAAGACAAAATGTGCTAAATATAATCCTAAGAAGATGCTCTTCTCGTTAAATATTGCAGAAAATACGAGCAATGAATTTGCACAAAAGCGAATGGTTTCTAGCATCATTATCCAATTTTTGTACGAGGGCTCATCATTTGGGTTGGGAAAGGAAAGCACTTGACTCTTCGCTCGATTATATGGGAAGTCGCAGGTTGCATTTAAAAAAAATTAACACAATAAAAAAGTCAAAAGTTTTTGTGCATTCTGCAAAATTTGGAATATTACAGAGTACATTTACAAAATGATAGAATATTTTTTTTTGAATTAATATTTTAGGATATTTCTACGAATTTTAAATATATCAGGGGTGGTTTTGGAAATCGATACCGGTATATTCAAATTACAAGAGAGTGATTTGATTTTCTTCATTATAGAGGCCAAAGCCGAAGATTTCAGTCGAAGCAAGGCAAATACAATGACATTAATTTCTAGGTTAAAGCTGAAGTGAACATTAATAGTGTTAAATGAAATCGAGTGAAAGTACTTGCCAAAGAAAAATCAATTGCAGGGAACAGAGGCTTGTAGTCATTGATGCTTCTTCTCTTGTCACATGGGTGGATTCCCTGTAGAGAAGTACATCAACAGGATCAAGCATGAGACTACCTTAAAGCAAAAGCATGTCTTTTTCCATGACTAACAATGTATATGAAACAAATGGCATTATTGATTTTCAACCACATGAATGAGCTGGTCAAACCAAGATGCATAAAATCTCCCCAAAATAGAGAACTCTGCTCAGTTCCAAGAATTATCATGTAATCATGTAGATGCACGAAGCAAATTTTCTATTGGGAAAGTAAGGCATTAATATGGATGCCTGAAAATGTGCATAAAAAGAATAAAGATGTATGAGCAATGTCTGCTACTGTGTGTTTATATGCATAACTCGGACCATAGTTATGGTAGAAATCAAATGTGATTAGTCAATAACTAATATTTTTTAAGGGTTATACTTTTTTTGGAAAAGGTAAACTCTTAAAGGTTATGCTTTGGAACCGGAATAACAACCCGAAAAATGAAGACGAAACAGAGTTCTTGAAATAAGGAAAGCGTACAAGCATGCAGATCAAAGAATGTTGCGGCTCAACAAATGACCACAGAATATTTCAAAACACTTCCATATAAAAGCTTTCTTCTTATCGTTGCGGTTTATTGATAGGAGAACATGAATAAGAACAAACTGCAGGAAAAAAATAAAGAAGCCACACTAAGTAGGCATGGAGTTCTGTAACTAGTCCCCAAGCAGCAAATTGGCTCACAAGTTACATGATTTATCATCATCACCATCAGAGCTTTATTCCAACTAGTTAGGGTTGGCCACATGAATCAATGTTTTTCATTCCGCTCTGTCAAGGGCCACTGCCTCAGTCAGACGATAAGTCACTATGTCATGTCCTTTTGGGCCTCCCCTTGCCCTTTTAGAGCCTACCAGTTGAATCAAATCCCTCCTCCTAACCGATGTTGTTCTAGGTCAACATTGCTTATAGCCAAACCACCTACTTCTACTTTCCTTCATCTTATTGCCTATTGGATCTACCCTTAACTTCCCTTGGATATATTCAATCCGGATTCTATCCAGTTTGTATGAGAACATGAAAATCCAAGCCCTCAAGGCCTCTCATACAAACTAGCCGTCAGACCACTAGAACAAAGAGCACAAGCCAAATCACAATGACCTTGTTCTTAATACTCACATCCTCGACATTTAGAAAAAGTATCACCAATCTCCAAGGTATACTACTCAATTATGCACCTAACCAAACCAGACCAATGGAGAATCCGTAGCCATTAGTGGTAGGATTGACATAAAAATGATTTTATTGTCTAATTTATTGGTTGTTAATTACTAAATGGCTTTTTAAAAACAACAAATCATGTAAATTGTTCTATAGTTTTTTTTTTTTTCTTTTTGTACTCTCAGTTTTTAATAAGGGGTTCCTTAAATTTCAAAGACTTTTCTTATTATGTCATCATCATTTTAGCCTTTTCCCAATTAATTGGGGTTGGCAACATGAATACTGGGTTTCCATTCTGCTCTATTAAAGGCAATATCCTCAGTGAGGTCATAAGTCCCCATATCTTTTTGGATTACTCCGAACCACATCCTTTTGGGCCTATCCCTTACTCATTTTCGTCCTTCCACTTGAACTAACTCGCACCTCCTAACAAGTGTTGTACTTGGTCGGCACCACACATGGCCAGGCCACCTAAGTCTACTCTCTCTCATTTTATCACCTATTGGTGCCACGCCTAAATTCTCTTGAATAGATTCATTTTGAATTCTATCCCTTCTTGTCTTGCCACTTATACATTTCAACATCCTCATCTCTGCTACACTCATTCTATGGGTATATTGTTTTTTGTCTGCCCAACATTGCGCCCCATAGAACAAAGCTAGTCTCATACCTATCCTATAGAACTTGCCCTTCAGCCTCATTGGTATGCGACGATCACATCAAATTCCAGTTGCACAAAAAGCACTGTAACATTTTCTTATTATATACGGATAAAAAATCTATGGCCTAATACAGGGTTTTTGTTCCTAACAATTTTGTTATTTAGTTTACTAGGATTTTTCTTTTTCTTTTTCTTTTTCTTCTTTTTCAAATTTTCCTTATTTTTTCCATTTTCTTCTATTTTTTATTTATTTGACCAGTCTGACTGGTGAACTGGTCCAATCCAACCAGTTCAACTAGACCTATGCCCTCACTGGTTCAGCCACCTGTCCATACTTAATAATATTGGAATTCCCATTAAAATATAGTTTAACCCATTCATCACTGAAAGGAATCCATGTAGCATGTCTTGAAGGTCGAGGACACTAGCTACCCACAATGAACCGCCACTGGTTCGCTCTTGGTTCTCTCCCTTGCCCATGACATATTAGTCACTCATATATTATTAATCAATCATCAGATTGAGTGTTGTTCTGAGTTGGAGACTGTCATTCCTTTCAATCCAGAATGGCAGGCAGAGTAATCTCCACTGTGGTAAAGGTGGAGTGTACCGGTGTAGAACTAAATCTTAATACTTTTGGGTATGTCCCAATGGATGACAAATAGATTTAACACATGAGCCCAGATTAGGGAAGCAGTATTGCAATGTAAGAACAAATGCTGTGCGAATCAGAGTATGTCTTGCACATTGCATATGTTTGGAAGAATCAGATATTCAGCACCTTACCTAGTTGCCAGCCATCTGAAAACCTGGGGCAGGGATGTTTCAAACCTTCCAGGCGGTAGCATCTTGATAGTTATCCCTGGTTGGTACTCTGTGAAGCAAGTAGGCCAAGAACTTTCATTTGGCTTCAGGCATCCAAATCAATTGATCCTGTCTTCCTGATCACAATAGAAGAAAGACTGGAGCTTCCTAAGGAGCATGTGAGGCTTCGCTTTCTTCATCTTGGCCTCCTCGGCCGTATATCCCAACAGCCTGATTTCCATATCCATGAGCAATTAGTACAACTGTTGCCTCAGGCTTGAAGACAAACAAATCAGAGACTGGTAAGCTTCATTAAGAGTTTCTCCTTGAAACCACGCATGTTTGCAAGACTTTGCTTTGTCCCCCTTCCTCATCTGAGTTCTTCTATTCATAATAACTACATTTCTCACTTGATTAACTCCCTGCCAGGGCCCGTATACAGCGCTTCAATATCTAGCATATCTGACAAGTCTTCCAAACTCATCTACCCCATGATGCCCACCACATTCTTCCACATGTAACTAAACCTCCACCACCACTTTCAAGGCCCTTGTTTGTCTCTCTCAACCTCTTAGTGCCCAGGCCACCTTTGGTTTTTGGCTTGCATACTTGATTCCAACTCACAAGAAGGAACCTTCTTTGTCAGATATGAACCATTCCATTCGAAGCTCCTCACGGTCTCACACGCCTCTCAATATAGTTAACAATTGACGGTGGCAGAGAAAGTTACATAGGATATCTGGGAGGAATTGAAACTCTCTCAGATCAAAATAGTCTTCTAAAATTTGCCAGAGTTGACACATAATAGGATGAGATATTCAGACTCGTCTGGAACATGGCACATAATATATCCTGTATAAAACTGCAACTAATGTAGCAACTCTCCCGAGTTGTATAGAACTTGGCATGAGTGGCAGGAGTTGCTACAATACTCACCTGAGTACTGTGCATTGTGAAGTTTAAAAGGGAGGCAGAAATCCGCTCCCGATTTCATTTTCTTTCTTCGCTTTTGAGCTTTAGGATTCATCATTTGAGGTAAACTTGCAAACTTAGTAAGATTTTCGCCTGATCTGGCTGTTGAAAAAAATAGATTTCAGAAAAAAAAATACAAGATCCTAATAAGCTCTTCATAATAGTCATTAGTAAATATAGAAAAGTGATCAAGAAACTCAATAAATCATCCTATTATATATAAAGAGAAAATAGATAAGTATTATTCTATTCCATGTCCTGTGGACCAATGATGAGATACCAAGTTCATACGAAGGAGGTCTAGACTTAGAAGTTTAGAATGGAGTGAAACCAAGCTTACCTACAAAAAGAGAAAAACCAAGGGCCCAAGACCTAAAGAACTTCTTAAATAAATTTAAGTTTTCCATGCCATTTATCATTGTAGACAAATTTAATCACATTATGTACACTCTTTCCCACCAAACAGACTTGCTCCAATAACCATACCCTCAATATAAACATCTCTGAATCCACATCTCAATACTTCTTCATATAAAACTACAAATAATCCCAGTTTCCCCTCTCCAAGAAGTTTGCGTTCCATTGACACATTCAAAATAAAATAAGGATATAGATAGTGCAGCTTCCCCCTAACTCCACATGAGAGGAATGCAATCACAGCTATATTGAGGCCCCTAGGAATCGGTCAAGTCAACAATTTGCTAATAACTTCCACAATTTTGTCTTTGGAATTGGTAACAAAAACATCCAATTATTGGCTTCACTCTTCGAGTCAGTTTCAGGAAATAATTGCCAGTAGTTAGAGAACAAAAACAGTATGGTATAACAAAAAGACTAGATGAAACAATAAAAAACCATAATTAAAAACAAAGGGCATATCCACAGAGACAGTTTTTAGCAACATATCACATAACAATAAGACCTCCATAATATAAAAAATTTCATAAGAAAAATTTTGAGACAGTGGACGCACCAAATGCTCACGACAATCCTCTACAGCTATGAAGGGTGGGCAACTTAAACTAGATATTGCAGGGTAATTGGTATTCCCTGCACCTGAAACCATTAAGAAAGGCCCATTTACCCCATCGACAAAGCGATCACCACCAAAGACGCCCACCGCTGTCTGCATTGTCCTACAACGATATTGAACATTATTAGCTCATCCAGCATATAATTGAAACTTCAACAAAGTGAATTCAAAGAGGCTCTTTAAGCAGTATAAGTAATAAAAGTTGAATCAGATATATATATATATATATATATACAAGATTAGAGGAGAAAATTAATTCCGCCATTGCCAATCCCAATCCTAAGCACAAGCCTGGATGAAAAAGGACGAGGGTTGTGTTAGGTTAAAAGCCAGTGGAAAACTATTGCCACATCCCTATCATAAATCCAGATCCAATTATATATGCCCATGTTAGGGGCGTTCCTTGTAAGCGACGCATAATACCTACACCTGGGTGCAATGAAAAATGAGCACGGGTGAGCTAGGAAATGCGTTTCCTAGAAGCAACATGCCATAATGACACCCGATTGCGGTGATAAGTAGGAAAGGGTTCTTGTACTATTTTGGACAAGTACGGGTAAAGAAGCTAGTCCAAGAGAATAGGACTCGTCTGGTGACAGAGAATGTATGAACTCTATCAGGTAAGAGTATGTAGTTAGTGGATGCAATGAGATGGAGAGTTAAAATAACTTGTTTGCAAGAAACTAAGTGGAAAGGGTAAAAGTTAAGGAAATTGATGGATATGAACTTTAGCATACAAGAAAGGATAATAATAGAAATGGCACAAGTATAATGGTAAACAAAGATTCAAAGGATAAAGTAGTAGATGTTAAGAGAGTATCTAATAGGTTCTTATTAAGAGAGGAGATAATTAATGTAATTAGTGCTTATGCGCCACAAGTAGGATTAGAGGATAGAATTAAAAGACATTTGTGGAAGGACATGGATGGACTAGTCCAAGGAATACCAAATGAAGAGATGACATTTTTAAGAAGGCACTTAAATGAGCATGTAGGAAACTACATCAGAGGATATGAAAGAGTACATGGAAGATATTGATTTCAAGAAAGAAATGAAATAGGTGATGTTATTTTTTATTTTTCTATGGCTTACGATCTAATAAATAGCAAACACCTACTTTAAAAAGCGAGATGAACATTTAATAACTTACAAGGGTGAACCATATGAAAGCCAAACAGTCTTTTTTGTAGGCAAGAAGATAAAACAGTCATCATGTAAAGATAGCAAAGTTATAGGGGTGAACCATATGAAAGCCAGACAGTCTTTTTTGTAGGCAAGAAGATAAAACAATCATCATATAAAGATAGCAAAGTTATCCTAGGAGAGAGGTTGACGCCGTAACACAAGCTCATGGTTATGGATGTTTGCATTAAGAGATGGAATAGGAGGAGTGCCATTAATGGGTGTCGAATAACCTGGTGGAAGAACTTAAAAAGGGAGAAAATAAACTTATTTGGAAATAAATTGATAAAAGAAGGAAAATGGAATTATGATGAGAAAGTTAATATTATGTAAAATGAGATGCTTGATTGTATTATGAGAGTGAAAAGAAGTTTTAGGAGAATTTATAGAGAAAAGACTTTCACATAAGGAAACTTGGTGGTGGAATGATGAGGTTCATAAGCTTATTAGCAAATATGATCACGTTCCAACCCTTGAAAAGCAAATAGAAATAAGCAGAATTTAGAAGAATATTGAAATGGCAAGAACACAAAATAAAATAGTAAGGTTAAGCTTAAGGCATATGATGATCTATGCAATAAATTGGGGACAAGGGTCGGTAAAACATATGTTTTCAAACTAACAAAAATTAGAGAGAGGAAATATAAGGATCTAGATCATATTAAATACATTTAGAGTGAGGATTAGATGGTGTTGCTAAAAGATGATGAGGTCGAAGAAGGTGGTGAATCTATTTTCAGAAATTGTTAAATGACGACCACTTTAGGAGCTCAGCATTAGGAGGAACCATTAACATAAATGAGGTCAATGAGGTTGGGATATCTAAATGAAAGAAACTTTTTGAAAGATGAAGATAAAACAGACTTTTAAGACCAGATGATATACTAATAGAGGTCTGGAAGTGCATGGGAGACAATGGTATATTATGGTTAGCCAAGTTGTTTTAACAAGATTTCAATAACAAAGAAAATGCCATATGAATGGAGGAAAAGTATTGTGGTACCTGTTTACAAGAACAAAGGAGACATAAAGAGTTGTACAAACTATTGAGGGATCAAACTTATACGCTACACTATAAAATTGTAGGAGAGAGTGATTGATCAATGCCCAAGACAAGAAAATAGTGTATTAGAAAATCAGTTTGTATTGATATTAGGGAGGTCAACAATTGACGGTATTTTCCTACTTAAGTAATTGATTGAGAAGTTTAAGGAGAAGAGAAGACCTCCACATGGTCTTAATTGATTTAGAGAAGGCATGCGATAGGCATACGACATGGAATCCTAGAGAGATAATCAAATAATTTGGTGCGTACTGCAAAAGAAAGGACTCTCAGAAGAATAGATTAACATGGCTACGAATATGTATGAGGGAGTGTTAACTAATATGAGGACAACTAGTGGAGAGATAAAGAGAGTTTTTATTGACAGTAGGCCTAAATCAGGGGTCAGCGTTGAGTACATATCTCTTTGCTTTGGTTATGGAGAGTAACAAGGCATCTACAAGATAAGGTTCCATGATGTATGTAATTTACGAATTACAAGGGTTTGACTGCTGAGACTAGAGACGGCATAAGTGCAAAGTTGGAACTTTGGAGGGATGCTTTAAAATCTAAAGGTTCTGAAATTAGTCATATGAAGATAGAATTTATCGAATGCATAATAAGAGTAGAAAGGATTAGTTAAGATTGATGCCCAATAAGTGCCTAAAAATTATTATTTTCGGTATCTTGAGAAGATAACCCATAACAAAGGAGAAATTCAGTAAGATGCTGCTCACAAAATTAGAGTTGGGTGGACAAAGTCGATATGTGCCTTTGGAGTCTTATGTGATCGTATCAATAAAACTAAATGGGAAGTTCTATAAGATGGTTGTAAACCAACCATGCTTTATAGGACAAAATGTTGGGCGGTCAAGAAACAACATATCTATAAAATGAGTGCAACTGAGATGCGGATGTCAAGATGGATAAGTGGCAAGACAAGGAAGAATAAAATTCGAAATGAATAAATTTGAAGGAATTTAGAGGTTGTTCCAAAAGGTGATAAAATAAGGGAAAGTAGATTTAGGTGGTCTAGTCATGTGCAGCGTTTACCTAGAATAGCACCGGTAAAGAAGGATAATTCGCTTCAAGTGGAAGGCTCTAAAAGGGAAAAGGAAAGGTCCCAAAGGATATGGATAAAGTAGTGAGAAAATATATGATGACTTATGATCAGACTGATGGTATGGCCCTTGATAGAGTGGAATGATAGAACAAGATTCATATAGTCGATCCCAAATAGTTGAGATGAAGTTCAGATGATGCTAAAGGTGACAATATCAGAAGAGAAAATTATATTCGCCAAGCATAAATTTCTATGTAAGTTTAATGGTACACTTCTTATTAATAGAATATTATTTTGATACAAATAAACTAAATTTTTAGATGTTTAGCATCCGAGGTGCTGATGAGCCATCTCGCATGTGAACAAATCTAATGAAATTTTTTGAATGAATGTTCTCTTAAGAATCAATACACATGCGGCAAACTTTGGTTATTGAAATACTCATACTCATCTCTAAGCAATAAGGTTTCATGTTGATCCACCTAAATGCATCAGGCACTTAGCTATTTCACATCTCAACATGGAATTCGAAAATAACATAGTAGAATAAATATAAACAAGAGTATCTATTACATAATCCAAAAAGCAATGATAAGAATGCTCCTCTCTCTCTCTTTCTCTCTCTCTCTCTC